TGCGTGTAGGAGTATTCTGCAGAAAAAAAACCCTCAGTACAGAGGAGGGGCACTCTCCTTCCCTCTCTAGCTTCCATACCAGAGGAGTGTTCAGACTTGTCAAACACTATTAAACAAAACAAAAATGAGCATTAATCTAGACTTTAAAAAAACAGGCATTGAGATGGCCAAATTAGATCAGCTCAAGGACTCTGCTAGTCAAATCTCTTGTCTTTGAAAATCATCGAGAACGGCTGCTTCAGAGAAAGTTTCCTTCAAATAAGCCCCGCAGCAGACAGTTATTGAGTAACTTGATTACAGAGAGAAAATCTTTACTTGGTTAATGGGTGGCTTGTGCACAGGCTTGTGCCTTTCTTAAGGTATTCTAAACAAAACAGTTTTTTACAACCTGGAACATCGCTGTGGTTTGATTTGCTGTACCATTTTCTTCAGATGCTACTGGTTTACATTAATAACATATGGAATGTGGAATCTGGCCTGAGATAAAAGGCTGCAGGACCTCAGGGTAGGTCTGCCACTCTGTGCTGCAGAGGGTTCCCTGCAAACCAGCCTGCACTCAGATACAGCTGCACTCCCAACAGCTGAAAACTACAGCCTGAGCAGCCCAGGAATATTAAACATCAACTGCTTCTGATGCCTATCTATCATCATCTATGCAACTCGTCCCGAGATTGGCACTGACAGCACAGAGGCTTTAAATAACACTTTGGAGGGAGGTTGGTTCCCTTGCGCCTGGGTTCAGTAGGGTAAACAGGAGATGGTATAAGCCTGGTGAGACACGAGCAGGGAAGACAGCTGTGGAGCTCAGCAGAGCACTGAGTTTTCTCCTTGGCCAGTAACTGAGCTGTGCCAGTGGGCAAGACGTTTGAGCTGTCATTTGGGCATCCTGCTTGGACATACCGCGAGTAGTCAGCTGGCAGGTTTGTGCCTGCTTAGCCTGGGCCCCCTTCTGCAGCATGGCAGAAGATATCTGCATCGGGGGACTGCAGGACGAGCTGCCTCCGATCTCAGCCTGCTCTACAGCAAATAGTGCCCGAAGCCCTGAAGAGCGGCATTGAAAGGTTTCAGTATCCACCAAGACAACCACACATCCTCTCACCACCCATGCCGATGTGTTTCAGAGTCTGGTTAAGTTCCTCATCTCAACAATTTTCATTACCAGTCACTGCACAGCTAGTGAGCAACTGCATGGGAAAGGCGTTTCCTTTATTGATTTTAAACCTTTTGACTTTTCAATCTACACAGAACATAAGGGAGTTTGGACTGGGTGTCCCAGTCCAGACCATACTCTTCACAGTAGAGAAGCTCAAATCTCACCATTATAATCAGCAAATTCCCCTAGAAACCTTGCCAGCAACTACTGGGCCTTGGGAGTCTCAAAGCAAGTCATGTTTGAAAACTGACACTAGGCACTGGATTTTGTCAGAGAATTGCATCAGCTCATACCTCTGTAAAGGACATATTTCATGTTATTTTGTCACCCTTGCTGGCAGGAGCGTCAGAGGGTTGCCTGTGGTATGCTGGCAGGGAACACGCTTCTCATTTGCAATGAAGTCAAGGTGACGCGGAGGATATGGCTGTTATGAGTTGTCACAGCTGGAACTACCAGATACCAGAAAAGCAAAGCAGTTCAGAAAGGGCCGGGTTGTGAAAATTGGGATTTGTATTAAAAAAATAGAAAGTTTTGATAGAAGCGTGGGTATTTAAATGAAAATGAGAAAAATATAAAACCAAATTAGTTACAGGAGCTGAAACCAGAAGGAAAGAGCAGATGATGAGCGGGCAAGTCAACCAGAGAAACTCTGTGTAAGGTGGAAGAACTGAGGACATCAGATCTGCTTGCCTCTTTACATCCCTGAGCACAGCACACTGAGATGTGTGCAAGGGATAGAGCAGCTGCGCCTCTGTGGAAGCTGCTCAGGCAAATGTTATCTCATTTCCAGTGCCAGAGTCAGCTCTATCCACTGTGTGCAAGCGCATATGGACAAACACTCAAAAGAGACCATTTTTTAATCTTACTGCGTAGAGCATGCCAGCCCAGCAGCATTTGGTAATGCTTTGGAAATACATTTTGAAAAATATTTTCTGTTTTGTTCTCGCCCAGTGGCTATGTAGGCTGTGCCAAATGTGCTTGCACCCACTGCTATAAATGAGGCCTGTGATACTCCTTATATGCTGTTAATGAAGACAGACTTGATTTCAAGTTCTACCTTTCTTTGCTTTTCAGAGCTGTTTGAATGCCCTGGTGTACTGCTTCTCTCTTTGAAGAGAGGCTCTTCATCTTCTGCATTCCTCTCCTACACGTGAAATCCTCCACTGCCAATGATTTAATATGTCTCTACCACGTCACCCACATCCCAAGGTACTATATAATTAGCCACTGGCATTGAGTGCTTTATCAGCTCTGAATTTTGCTCTTTATCACCTGAGTTTAGGAATTTTATACCAGTTTTTGAAGGAAATTGCCTCAGTTGGGATCTTTTCAAGGCACTAGTGCAAGTATTTATTTAGTGGGAACTTAATTATCCATCACTGTGATACCAGTCAAAGTAGCAGTGTTTATCAGCAATTAACCAGTGACAGATGAACCTCCCAGAAATATAAAAAGAACAACATTGTAGAGCCTGTGATGATTTTCATTATATATTCAACATTCTGCAGCATGATACATTAGAGAAAGTGCCAATTTTTCTTTTCAATTGCTTTGAAAATCTAGCAGCAGGCACCTCTGGGAGGTTTCTCATTTCATTCAAGGCACATTTATTTAAAATGGGTATGGAGGAGAACCAGGACAGCTGAACAAATGGTATGGAATGAAGAGGGGGAATTGTGAACAATAGATTTGATTTTCAGTGCCATGACAACAATTTCTGTGCAAGAGGTATACGAAATTCAGCAAAGCCCTGCCACAGAGTGGACAAGTTGAGGCACTGAAGTAGTTAGGAGATGGGCAAACGTGTAATAGGAAGCTTGTGCTGGCCAAAACAGGCAGATTCTTGCTTACATTAAGGTCCCACCAAGAGCACTTGCCAAGCACAGCAAGGGAGTGTTCTTAGTATAACAAGATTGCTATTTTAAAAGTAGAGGCTATCACAGCCTCACAAAGAATGCACCAGGCTTCACTTTTTGCCTGATAGGGCTGTGTTGACTTAAAGGGTACCTGTCAAAGCTGTGCTTCGTGGAAACCACATATTACAGTGCTTTTGTGAATGTTTGATACCTTGAACTCACAAGGTATATCTCACTTCACGTTTCTTGCATGTGCTGAAGCTGGACTCTTGTTCTTGCATGGAGCAGGGCAAGCACAGAGCCGAGCCCTGACAGGATGCTGATAAAAAATGCCAGCATTAAAAATTAATGCACTGTCAAAGGCTCAGCTCTAAGTCAAATTAGAAACAATTCCTCTGAAGCACTTCCCCCCAGTAAAGACTGCTGTGGTTAGCCACCTTGGAGATGGAGCAGTTCAAAAGTATTTTACATGATTGGCTTTTTGGGAGATCACCATTTTATCATGGCGAAAGTAGGCTTCACTACTTGCTTCTTACCTCAGAAATCATCACTACCAGTTTTGCTTATGTCTAAAACATAATAATTTCAAGCACAGAGGAGAGATGGAAGACTTCAAACTAACACATGAAAATTTGAGAAAGCCTTAAAAACTGAAAATGGATATCCAGAGTATAAATATGTAAGTTATTTTTACTGTGTATTCCATTGGTGCTCTAGATAGTCTAAACCCCATCATAGTCTAGGCAGAACACAAAAATGGAGGTGCGTTTATCTATGCATGCATGGCACCTAACCACGCAACACCTAAGTTCTTTGACAAAGCATAAGAGAACAGAGAAAAGGACAATATAGCAGTAAGAATGGAAAAATAGGCAAGTCCAAACTGTGGATAAGTCTTAGTTGCTCTTCTCCATCGCACAGAGCAGCCATGAGTGGCTTGACTTGCCTGGCTCACCCCAGCTTGGAGACAACATGCTGACATTCAGCAGTTTGACTGTGCTCTCTGCTGTTAACAAACACAGAAAGGACTTACGTGTCTTGGAAATGGTTTCTAGGTGAACCAAAATGGATTTGTTTCTCGAATCAAACATTTTTTCAAACTTGTCCAAGCATGCTTGCAGCTGCAAAAACAAAGGTAAAGGAGAAAATTAATACATCGCCCTTTCTTTGTTCACAAAAACACAGCTCCAAATGCCACGGAATGACAACTGCCACTCATGGCATGGAACAGCCTGAACATTCCCGAGAGTAGACTACTTTCTTCAGGCAGAAGGAAAAATGAATGGATATTTGCAGACAACCATTAAAGCCTGTTCTTGCCCCTGACACCCAGAGAAATTCCACTGCTGACTCTGAGGCAAGGCCTTAAAGACCTTGACCCTAAGAACGGGCCGCAAAGACAATAGTATATGCAAAAAAATTGGCAATTGTTGGTTTAAAGTATTTCATCACTCAAGACAAACAGCAATAATTCAAATATCAGCACAGTAAATGAAAGAAGGTGAATGTTCTGTAGCATTTCTAACTCTTCATTATTCTGCACTCTGAATTTGAATTAACTTACCCCTTGAAGTCTGTCTTTGATGCTGGAAATAAAAGTGCTTAAAACCTCACTAAAATGAAAAAAAAAAACAAACAACCAAGTATAAACCAGACATGTAAGTTACTGAAATAGACAGAAATTGAAAAGATCACAGTAAACATGAGACATGAAACGCTACAATAGGATAGTGTGTAATGTGAGCACAGAAACATAATTACTTCAAGGGGCATAACCCTTTGAAGTCACCTTACGAGTTTTAGGAAAAGCCTGGATTCTGCTATGTAGAGTAAGAAAAAAAAATATATACACACATGCACATATACATCATATACATGAATTTTTTTTTTTTTCAAACTCTCTCATTTTTGGCTTAGCATTTGTGCCTCTCTTGAAAGTTTAGTTGGCATTTACACAACTGTCCATTAGCTGCTGGGATGTTACCACTGCACTATCTGCTCTGGAAGGACATGGACTTGGCAGAGGTGACGTGCCAGTTGCTGGGATACATGGGTGTTGTATTTGGACTAAAACAACTGTGGGGAAAATATGGGAAAAGCTTCAGCGTCAACAAAGCTCAAGCCAGGAAGAACAAATATTGCAAATTCTTTTCTCCTGACATTACGCCTGTGGTTTCTGCTATCCATCCTTTTAAGTTGAGCGAGCCTGTCAGGAACCAGGCTGTATTCATGATTAACCCATCAAACCAAAATGCAAGGACGGTTGCTAAGCAAAGCCATAACCTATTTCCTCTCTGAAGATTCGGGTCATTTTGAATCAATCATTTAGTGATTCAAATTGCAACAACCAAAAAGGTGGAGGTCAGGTAGCGTCTAGTTATAAGAATTAGGCAAGGCTTCTGAAATCTTTCAAGCCTTATGGAGAGGAAGACATTCATTTTATTAGTCAGACTCGTGGGGGATACAAATTGAGAATTATACGTTTATCTGTATAAAGGTAATATAGCTATTTCTATAATCTGGGAGTGAGTCTGGAGTGTAGGAAGGAGCATAATTCATTTAAAGAAGAAATAAAGGATAATTAAGAGTTCTGCCTATTTAAACATTTAAAACTCTTTGTTCATTTCTCATAACTCACTTATAAAAATCCTCCTCTTCACTAATAGACACTAGAGAATCAAATTTTGCCTTATCAGAAGCATAGTGCCCACTGAAAAAGAGAAAGAGATATATAGCCTGATTTGATCAAAGGCTTTTAATAAAATGTATTTCATTCAGATGTTACATTACAAAATGTACAGTGCTAAGAAGTATTTATAGGTGCACTGGGGAGTTTGCCATCTTTCATTTTTGAGCTTGAAATGGTCAGCTTGTTCCTTGTATAAAAATCTTACGTACAAGTAGAATTCTAGAGATACATGCAGATTTATAAAGGTGCAATCGCCGCACACAAGTATGTTTGGCAACCTCCTCATCTGGCCCAAACGTGAAGACCGTCCCCAGAGTCCCTTTGATCAGTCCCAACACAGTCTATGAAATTTTGAGAAATACGGGCTTTCACAGAGAATTAATACAGGAAAAGCCCTGCTGATTAGATAAAGAAGGACAAAGGTAAACTCAGGTTAGAGTTTTGTTGTTCCTTGTGGCTTATGGCTGAGTGTGTTACATAAATTGCATTGCAAATAAACCCTATTATCTTATCCTGTGACTCTTTCCAATCAGAGATTATTTAAAGCCTGAAAAGATACTTTTCTTGGAGAAATATGCAGCTATGTCGTGCATGACTTTTAAGAGAAGAGGAGCTGTAGGGAGTGATAAGCATCAGCACAGAAAGAATTTCCAATGGATGTCTACATACCGATCATATTTGTCCTTTATTTTGTTCTTATTCACTTCAAAATTTTCCAAGACACTTTTCACTCTTCCTGCACCAAAATTAAGTGAACTTTTTTCTTTTGCGTCTTCATCAAATAACTGTGGTTTTGTCTGGTATTTGGTGAAAATACTGGGCTCACTCTGTTGCACAAAAGAAAGAAAAATGTTCAAGTATAAAAATAAGAAGAACATTAATTAGAAAAAAACATTTGTGTACCAAGTGCTTTCCAGACAGAGATTACAGTGATTGGATGTGACAGATTAGATTGGACGAGGAGATTAAGAATTTCATGAGATTATGGCTCACTTAGTGTGCCTAGTTAGATCAACCCCCTGTGGAACTGAGACCCAGCCCGAATTCCTCCAAACTCAGGCTTTTCTCTCATCTTGAGGATTTTCAGTTGGTTGCAATTATCAGGTGTGTAGATTTTTTTTCCTGTGTGCTCAACACAAAGACTATAAATGAATTCTAGTGTTCCTGGAATTGTGGAAAAGCTAAAGATGTCAGTGGGAGCTCCCTGTACAGGAATCTAAAGAAAATCCTATTGAATTTCCTGGTGGATGACATCATTTTGCTGCCAACTAGCAACAACACCAGACTGTAGATAAGTTTTTCACATGCTTCAATATACATTTCATAGCAATAAATGTAATATTAATATGAAAGCTGGAAAGACCGTCATTCTACAAACTTTCCAGACACTGTGCGACTAAAATGAAAATGCCTTTTCCTTAAAACATAAGAAATGCAAATTCCATTAAATTTTCTTTTTTCATTGAAAAGAGTGGATTTCCTTTTTTGCATCTGATGAAAAGCTGCTGCAGTCAATAGACAAGACCCTCGGCAAAATGCAGGGGACAGCAGTGGAACTGAAGGACAGCCTAGGGCTACCAAGATGGCACCATCACTCTTCCCTAATCTTTGCTCTCGGGTATCTTTATTCAGATCTGATGGTATCTGTTAGCAGTGCAGGAACTGTTTTAGTGAAGCTAGTAACATCAGAAACCATGTGTTCTAGGAGTAAGATTCTGAATGTAGAAGCGCTTCATCCAAAATCATTCAAGCATCTTCCATAACAACAATACAGAAAGGTAATTTTCAGTCAGTGAAAGTAAACACTGAACACCTCTGTCATTCTTGCAGAAAGCTAATGAAGAGTAACACAGTGTTTTTCAAAGAGGAATAGATGTTATATTCTACCTTAGCTAGGTGGTCTAAAGACATTAGCTTGAGAATAATTTCATATTGTTTTGTTAATTAAAATAATGTTATTAAAGAAAATAATATCTATCTCAATAATAATTTATAGTAATCTGTTACAAGTTTTCAGCCAACCAGGCTGCTGCTTTGTCTAGTCACAGCAAATATGTAAACGTATCAAGAAGATGAGTTGATTTCAGCAGTTACTAACACTTGTGAATGTTACCACCTGATTTCAGCATTTTTCATTAACTTTGAATGGTGGCTGTGTGCCTGCACAGGGCTGAACGAAAGCGAGACTCACGTCCTGGGAGTTGTGCTGTCCCAGTTGCGTGCCCAGCTCCAGCGGCGCCGCTGCCGACTGCACGTTCTCCGGGCAGAACTGGGAGCCGAAGAGCAGCTGAGAATCGCTCAAACTCGAGTAGTCACTAGGAGCACTGCTCCGGATGGAAAACTTATTAGGCCTGAAATGGGGCAGAGCATGTTGTGAATGAGTCTTGAGCAATCAAAAGGCAAACAGAACTCCCTACACGACCTGCTGCAACCATTCAAGCATGACCCACGCCAACATGTTCGTTTTGACTCTCCACTTGGAGGTACCGTTCACATAAGTGTATAATGTAAACAGCTTGGTTTTGCTACGCTTCAACTGCCGCATCCGTATGAATGCAGTATGGTAGCTCTGTGTTCACCCTGCAGGGGCGAAGGTGTTTCTCCAGCACATTGTGCAGACAGAAGACCAAAACTAAAACTGGTCACCTAACTCAGTTCACCTTGCCTGCCTAGCCTAAGGGACACCTTGGGGTTTGCTCCTAGCAAGTGCCGGATCTCTCCCTTCTCACTACTCTGGATAATAATTTCTGTTGTAACTCAGATGCCGCTAGGCTTATTTGGAAGGCAGTTCCAAAAGAGTAAACCTTTTGGACTGATAGTTGATATTTCTTGGGCATTTATTCTCCAGATGCCTTAAGTCTGACATACTGGAACAACAAATAAATAGGTAGCATATGGCTGGACAAACTGATCTGATTAGAAATATTTCAAACATAGTAAAGTGCTACTCAAAAGTTCTCTTCTTTCCCTTGAGTGTTGCCCAGATAAACCTTTTCCAGCTAGACTTGACTTTGTGCTATGTTGCTCTGTTTCTGCTCCTCTTAAGAGACACGACTTCTACCACTGTATGGACTAGGATCGTGGCACCGTACCAGCTTCCCTCAGCCAAGGGTTTCCCCGCACAGCTGCACCGCTTCTCATTCTGTCAGAAAATGGCTCCAATTGTTCAATGTTTCAGTGGCTGGCAAAGATACAGACCTTTTTCGTTTTTCACATGATCACCATTCCATTGCTCTGCATCCACAATGTCTGATGGAGTGTTTAGGCCAGGTCAAAACATAAGAAAAGCTGGGGCAGGTTTATACTCTCAGTTCTTGCTGGTTTTTAAGCTAACAAAATGGAGAGATGTGTTGCTGCCTTTGGAACTGGGAATTACAGACCCAAAATTAACGAAAAAGACTCTTATGCAGGGTTTTCCTTCCATGTCAAATCACATGAGCAAAGGAGAAGGAATAGGAGATTAATTTATGTGTATAACAAAAGATGATCACCCCAACATTTATTAGCAGTGACGTGTTTGGTTAATCCCCAGTTTTGGAAGGAGCCCAAACATCATACACACAACAGGGAAGGGATTTAGTAGCAGTACTTGAACTGCTCAGTCTCCCTCTTCATTATACAGTGGTGTCAGTGACAATATCATGTTAACACTTTTGGCTTTGAGCTCACCAAGTATACTGAGCCGCAGGCAAAAATAGATGAGGTATGGGTTTCTGGATTCTCAAAAAGCCTGATAAATCTGTCTGAGTTCAAAATTTCTCCTTCCATCTGCCTCTGGACCCCAAATTTACTAAGAAAGAAATCTGAATACAACTTTTACTAGCATCCATCTCAGCTAAGATTCATGAAAAAAAAAACTTCTTAATCTACAGCCAGCATGTCAGGCAGAGATGTGAGCACACAGGCGGCCATGACCCCACACGGGCAGGATCCCTACTTGCAAAGTAAGTATCACATCTCCTGCACCAGTTTTCTAACTCCTCTTGTCTTCAAGCCAAAAAAAGCTCCCTCTTAGTTCAAGGAAGGGTTTTTATAATCCCTAGTGCTTTATTGTCCTGTCAACCCCCCTTTGAAAGTGTCTGGTACAGCTGGTGAATATCACATCCAATAACCTCCTCATTTTCTCAGTCCCTTCACATTACTTAATGCCTGAAGGACAAGATTTCTGTAACGAAGTGTTTTATGACCAGTATTTTGAGGACTATTGAGCTGAGAGGACTTTAGGACCCAAGTGACTTTCTAGGCTCACTCTGCACTGACACTATGACCAGAGGCGACTGTTGGCTGCTCTGGAGTCTAATTTTTCTGTCCTAAGTCCACTACCTCAGTGGTTGGTTTGAGAACAATGACATTTCTGCAAATTAGGAGGGGGAATGAAACAGATGCTTCTTTGGAATACAGTCATTTCCCTGTGCAACATGTTTCTTTCTCCCTTGCTTAACACTACTGGTAATTAATTTACTAACAAGATCATCTGAGCAAGACATCAGCCTGGCCACACTTGGCGTATCCCTGATAGTGAGATCAGACAACTGTGATCAGATCCTTGATCGGGCAGCCACAGCTCTTCTAACCACCTGACCATTCCCTTCAGGATGCCTGAGCTGCAGGGATGCATGCTCCGTCCTAAATATAAACCCTTCCTTATAAACAGCAAGGAAACATCCTAGACATTTAATCTCAGTTAGAAGTCCCTCCTAAGTGATGCAATAGTTTACCTCGGGAGAACTTCTAGCTTTCTGCTAACATGAGCCATTCTCCGAGTCGTTCATGCACTTGTGCCCATAGTGCTCCTATGGTGTTGGCATTAGCACGTGCGTCCAAAGCAAAACCAGCTTTAGATATGCAAGAGAAGTGCCATCGTCAGTTCTTGTCAGCTCCAGAAGATGTTAAATCATCCTCTGCTGACTGTTGGAACAATGTCTTTTTCCCACCTAACTTCATGCGAGGTATTGCAATATCAGCAACTCCAACCTTTTCTGTAGTATGAGTGTGATCTAAAAAATCTGCAGCCCTCTGCAGATCTGGGGAGGCAGCTAGTTCTTTGCAGTCTGAGTTTCCCTGTTGTCAGTGAGAATTCCCCCTCCACAGGAGAAGTTAGATCTTTTGTGAGCCTCTTTCATTTTTCTAAGTTTCAATTTCCACTGCCAAATATTTTAGCACAATCATATGTCAATGTTCACCTTTCATTTAAAGGTTCTGCCTTGACCCCAAACAGCTGTCGGATACAACAACCCAAGAGAAACACAGCGCATGATAAATACCCTCTTCTTGTGTTTCCTAGATGTTTCCAGGGGCATCAACAAGCTAGAAATTCATAACCATAAATTTTCATAGACTGTACCACTCTCTTTTAAAATTGCTAATTTTTACCCTGTTGTTTGGATCCATCCTTACGCACCAACATCAAGGTTGAAGAGTCAGTTGGAAAAGCAAACTGAATCTTCTACAATTTGGATAATAACTTTTATCTGCGGTGCTGCTGTAAGTGATTTCATTATCCCTGCTGACCCTGCGCCAACATCCCTCTTCTTCCCAAGCACTGTGGGTGCAGCTCGCTTACGCCTTCCTGACATATTTCTTCAAAGTGCAGTAAAGCCTCTTTCCCGAAGAAGAGATCTTTTTCTCCTGGTAGTAATCTTGAGTAGGATCAGTGCCATAAAATTCCTCTTCTCCTGATTTCCCTCTAGAAAATCTCCCAGTCCCTTCTGCTCCTCCTCATTTAGTGACCAGGGCTGAATCACAACAAATCCAGCTGAAATTCTGGGAGCTGCTGTTCACCTGCTCTTGCTCCTGGCTTTAGTCTGTGTCTATAGGAACTGCCTCTAGCTCTGCTATGCTGCTCTCGTCGTCAGTAATTGCTGCCTGCCAATGTGTTCAGCAAATGAGCAGAGATCAGCATTGGCTTGGGGTGCAGAGGAACTTCAGCATCCAGGGGCCTGGAGGAGTTTAAATCAAGGAGTTTTAACTGCTATTGCCACTTTCAGCCATTTGCCATCTCTTTGCTGGGAACAGGCACAGCACAAAATTATTATTCTGCTTTCTGTCCTTTGGAACGGCGTGACCTGCTTGCTGCAAATAATTTGCACCATATCCTAAAAGGAATTTCTACAAACAGACTTTGGCACTGGCCCTAATGCGTTAACCACAATGAAATCCCTCTCACATATTCAGCTCAAACACTGCCTCCAGTTTCCAGATTTCAGGCTCAAAGTCCTTCTGGTCTTGTTTTAATTCCTCAAGGTCATTTTTACTTTCTATGAGCCACTCCATTATTCATTCGCTGTGACTCAATACTGCCCAGACACTCCTCACCTTGGAAACTGTGTTAGTCCTTTGTCCTGAGCCGGTCACAGGGACTCGCAGGGCCTTTTCCTTAGAAGGAGACTGGGATTTCCACGGAGCAGGCCTGTTTACATACACAAAACATATCCCTGACCATATTAAGAATTAGACATCTGGAAATCAAGGGTTTTGCCCCCCCTAGTCTGAAGCCAACTTCCAGCCTGCACTCACAGCCTGAGTTTCTCATTCCTCCAAGGCTCAGGATTTTTACAGCTACTCTCTCAGTCTTTGTCCTGGTGGTCTCCTTCATTTTCTGCTTATTCTGAGACTTCAAGGTGAATTCAAAATATGTAGCCCTGCTATGCGGGATGGAATTTCATGGGATAATGGATTGAGTGGGGTTGTTAAACTTGGAATTTTTTTCTTAATGGCAGAAATAAACCATAGAGAGCAGTGCCTAAGTAGACCTTAACTCACGGCATCCGTTTTGAATGCCTCTAATATTTTCATCATGTATTGGCCTTACACACTCTCTGGAAGGCTACCTGCTTCTGCTGCCTTTGGAAGTAGGCGTATTAGTAGCTTTTATGCCTTTAGCAAGTCACTGTTTTTCTCATGGAACAAGAAAATTCTGTTAATTTCAATTTAAAATCATAATACATTGGTTCCTATTTTTTATTGTCTTTAATTCCTTGAAGGATGCCTTCTCATTTTCAGTAGTTGTCTTTACCACGCCAGTCCAGTAGTGATCCGTCTCTCATCTGGTCTGATAGCTGGTATGCATTTGTTCTGAGCTTCAATATGAGGTCTAAATAATCTCTCTCTATGCCTCAGGCAAGCATTTAACCCTTTTGGCCATCCAGTGTAATTTATTTTTAATGAGCTTCCTTATTACTACATCAATGTCTTTTTCAAAATTAATCAGTATTGGGTTTTTTGGTTTCTATTGCTCCTGCAGAGACATGACTCCAGTTCACTACCGTCACTCTCAGGGTAGCATGACGAGAGTAATACCCTGAACGTGAGTCTTGTGCACAGCTCAGGGCAAGGCAAGATGTGTCTCTTC